CAACTCAGAGAAATTGCGCGCTGGTGCATGCAAGATACCCAAAGTTATTGTTGCCCAATCGGACAGATAAAAAAAACCGAACTTCCTCTAGTGCGTGCTTTAGGCAGATTCATAAAACACTTCCGAACTACACATTCACTTTTTCGGGAGATATGGAAAGTAGAGACCCTGGCTCCCGCAGACATCTACCGCGCTAGCGTCTCCACAAGCTCTGATTAGCATACGTACGTCAGAAGAAGCCCAGTGATCCTTCAGCATACGCCGAACGAGGGGAAGAAGCGGATATAATTTTCAAATATTCCTTGGGATAGGAAAGACTACTTAAATGGGAGTGCGATACCGAAAAATACGGAACAATTTCGGGCTGACGCATGGACTGTAGGATGCTGGCAGTTAGTCTTTTGTCGGGCTAACAATGTAAAAAAATGAGGATAAAATGAATTAAGACCCGGTATCATAAGTTGTATTTCAGATCAATTAGCTTTACGTTACTTAGGAATGTTTTCTAGTTGAAAGCCGTATTTTGGAAGTGAATCGGTGCTTAATGTGTTTTGACGCCTACCGAATAAGTCAATAAAGGTGGTGAGCATAAGAGAGCCTGCAAGGCCATTTTTAAATCAGTTGAATAAATGGACTAATACGTGACTGCGACATTTTCTGAAGAAAGGGAGGCAGAAAGCGTTACAACCGTAAAAACGCGTTACAAGCGTAAATACGCTGCGAGAACTCATTCGTAGAGGTTATCTGCTAGTCGGGTGAAGTTGGTCTCTTGGTCATTTAGTACGGATAGTGCACCGCCGAGAAGCAAGCCAGCTTTCAGGAAGGTGTGCATAATACCTCCCAAAATGACTTAAAACCGATGTAAAAATCTTCTACGACAACCCCTAAGTGTATCGGCTGAGTAATAAGTTATGAGCTGCAAACACGAGAGCAAAGACAATTAGTTCGACGTATGCATAAGGGACGAAGGATGGGAAGAAAACAGAGAGTAGAAACAAGAAAGATGAGGAACAAGAGGTGCAGAGGTGTAAAATGAGGGTGAAAGGAAAGTGAAAAAGGAAGGAAGGAAAGAAAAAAGGGAAGAAACACGACGGTGGGAAAGATTTATTCACAAAAGAAGGAAAAAATAATCGGTTCCCAAGATCAGTGTGCACAATTTAAAGAGATTTTTGAAACAGCGCATATGCCCCTGTGTACGCACTCCGGCGGACCTTCGCAAAGGAGTAAATAGAGAACAGAGAGAGTAGACGCAGACAAGGGCACTTTCGGGAAGGACGTACAGTAGTTGATTCAAGTAGACGGTATTCGCGACAACCACTACACAATCAAATGAGGTATGAAGGCAGCATGGTAGGCGATAACGTCAAGGGTCACAGCGATATGGCATGTTCGGCACGAGAGTTCAATTGTTAAAACTGGCGACAAACGTTCCTCGAGCACTGTGTTGAGGTTGAATAGAGGAAAGAACTGGTACAGGAAAGTGAGCGTTTTCGTGTGGCCTGTGAGTGTATTTCATCGTCCAGGGCGCGTATTAATCCAGAAAGTGAATACTCATCTTGTTCTCGATGTCCACATTTTCAACAGCCTGAAGGGTTAAAAACAACAGAACAATTTACACAATGGAAAAGGGCTGAAAAAGTGAAATTCACTGGTCCTTCCAGTGATCGATACAGTTAACAAGAGGTTGTTTTTTAAAAAGCCGAGCAAACAGCTGTAGTTTAGGTTGCAAAAGACTGGTGTCAATGTGCCGCACTCAACGGCTGTGATTTCAGTGATTGCTACCCAGTTGGCATTGCCATCAGCAGCATCATAGACTGAGAAGTAAAAGACGACTCGATCGTTAGGACAATTTGTTTATTCACCTGACGTTTCGAAATCCGTCAGGCGAATAAACATATTGTCCCAGCGATCGAGTCGTCTTCTACTTCTC